AGAGGAGTAATACTGTGTGTGTGTGTGTGTGTGTGTGTGTGTGTGTGTGTGTGTGTGTGTGTGTGTGTGTGTGTGTGTTGCTTTCCTGGACAGTAGCACCTATCCCAGAGAGGGAGGATGGCCCAGTGATTAGTGCACTGGCCTGGGACTTGGCAGACCCATGTGCTCTGCCACAGCCTACCTGTGTGACCCTGGGCAGGTCACTTGGTTTCTCAGGGCCTCGGTTCCCTATCTGCACAATGGGGATAATGGCCCTCCCTGCCTGGCGGGGCGTGGGGAGGATCAATATATCCAAGATGGTGAAGCACTCAGAGGCGGGAATAACGGGGGGCCCTTATGTACCTTATAGACAGGAGCATGAGTTGTACCAGTTTGCAGCCCATTCCCAGCCTGGTGCTGTTTTCTCAACTCCACCTATTGTCTTTCCCCTCCAGATTTTCCCGAGACCGAACCCACAGAACCTGGACCTCTTGGTAAGACCCGCAGCCCATTGGTCTCTGACCCGTAGGGTGCCCCTGGGAGCTGCAGCTGCCTGAAGTCAGCTCTAAGCGGGAGGAAGGGCCTGCAGGAGGCACGGCTGGAAAGTTTAAAGGGGGTGGAAAAAGCTGCTCACTCGAGCGCTGAGAGAGGAGTCAGGGCACTGGTTTTCCCCCCTCCACCCCCGAGCACGCAGGCAGGACAACCTGGGGTGAAAGGTGAAGGAGACACCCCAGCTGGGAGGGGGGGTTGTAGGCTCTCTCCAGCTGGCAGGAGCTGCCTGGTGGATTTCTAGCTTTGATGAATCCAGCAGCGCTTCTCCCGGAATTGCAGGATCGGGCCCTTCCAGCGGATGCTCTCGGTGACACTTGTTTTTTTAACTGATGTCGGAGAGTAGCTTAAAGACCCTGCGCGGCGCAGCCCCTCCTCTGTGGGGAGGAAATGTTCAAACCCCAGAGAAAGCACAAAGTCCCCCTTGATTTCCCCCCGCGTGGATAGATTTCCGAGCCATGGTGCCCGGTGGAGCCCTGGAGGCTACGAACGAACCTTGTTACATTTAGCAGCATTTCTCTGGCTTTCACGCCAGGGCACCTGTTTGACTTTCGCTTTAGTTGTTCCGTAATCCTGCTTCCTCCCTCTCCCCGTCGCGCTCAGCTTCGGGAGCAGTGGGGGGCTAGTCTCCTCCGCCTTCTCCCTAAACTCTGCCTGCGATGCCGTCTGCCGTGCCTGCCCCAGAGTTAGACACGAACCAGCTGAGTCTGCAAAGCCCCATGGAGTTTCCTTCTCTTGCCCACAGGCTCTAGCTGGTTACCGCTCTGCCTTTGGGTTAGGAATCGGATCTGTGCGCGTAAGGGGAACGTTCAGTGGCAGAGCTAATGAGGGTGGGAAGCAACAGCCCCCCCCCCTCGTGGCCTCTAGGTGTATGGGGGTGCCTTTTGGGGGCCCTGCAGTCACCCAGCAGTGGCCACTCCTGTCCCGCCAGGCTGCACCCAGTTCCTCACTCAGGCATTGCAACATGGTGCCCGGGGTCCCATGGCGCTGTGACCCCATGCGCCACATCGCAATGCCACTCGCTCCAAGTTGGCGCAGCCGCCTGTCCATCATGCCACCCGTATGGCACTGCAACCCCATGCGCCAGCTTGTAACGCCCGGCATGGGGAGCCGGGCCCAGGACAGGAGCCCACGCTGCTGGGTGAGTGTGGGGCAGGCTCGCTCTGCGGCCCGCCACCAATGACCCATCTGGCTCCGCCACTGGGAGCATTGAGCTGTTGGGGGTGGACACGTTACTGAGAGCAGTTGGGGTTAGAAGTCGGCCGTCTCCCGGTGACGTGGTGTGGGGCTGCTGCATGTGCAGCTGGCTAACCGCCCGGCATTGCAGGGAGGGGGTGGAGGGACGGTGCAGGCCAGCGCTAGCGATCCTGCCAAGCGTGCAGAGACCGGGGCGCTCTGCTCTGCTCCAAGCTAAACACTCTGGCACGGTGTCGTGAAATCACATTTTTCCTGCTTCCGCCCCCCTCCCTCCCCAAAGGGAAAATCGAGATCACCTTCCAGATTGGACCTACTCCTGGCGCTTGCCAGCTGGCCGAACTAAAGGAGGCGGAGAACTCCTGCTCCCGGCCTAAGGAGGCCAGCTTTCCAGGAACTGTTAGCCGTCTGTCTTCTACCAAGTGCTGACTACCCTCCAGCCCCTGCAATTCAAGGCCCTTGCAAGATGTGGCTTTTAGCTTGTTCATTCTTCGCAGCAGGGGCTTTATCTGTGAAGCCCCACCCATGGGAGCAGCCCTGTATCAGCACCTGCCCTCTCACCACTGAGATACTAGCTGCGGGCGCACCCCCCCCGTCCCCCCCTAAAGCCGTGCCAGTAGCAGGGTTTGCAAGCTAAGCAAGGCTCCGGCGTTCATGCAGTTGAGGGGCAGTCCCCTCTGACAGCCGGGCCAATGCCCCGGCATTCTGCAGGGGGCGCTATTGTGCTATTAGGTGTCGGTTAAAGCTGATGTTCTGGCCGCGGCTCTGTGCTCATTAAAGAACTCGCCACAAGAGGAAAGGCGTTAACTCAGCTGTCCAGCTCCAGTAACTAAATTCTCCTTCCCTGAAGTCCCTCCCCCCCAATCCAGTTTTCATTGGAGATAAAGTTCTTCACTTTCTGCCCTAAGCTGTGGGGCTATTTAAACAGTTGTGCTGTTCCGCCCCAGAGGTGGCTGCATTTCACTGCTCCTTACAGCAATTCCCGGGCACGTGGGTGCAGTCGTTCGGGATCTGACAGGATGAAAGGTGCAATAGAGAGAGGACATTCCTGCTCCACTCCGCTTGTGGGGCACTTCATTAACTCGGGGAACCTGGAGGTCCAAGTCAGCACTGGCATGGCACTCCCATTGAGATGGTGACTGGGCCCACGGACGATCTCCCCCCAGCCCTCCGCTGCCCCAGACTGGTCAGAACTCCCGTTGGGCTCATGCTGCCGGTGCAGCCAGTGCAGAAGAAGCAGGAGAGGCTGCTCTCCAGGAAAGGGTTAAGGGAGATGGGCGGCTTGCTAACCATGGGCTCTTAAATGAAATTGTGGGTCCCTGTTAAACACCCATCCCTACCTCTCCGCTTCCCCCATTGGCACCAATGCCAGAGCAAGCGCAGCTGCTCTGGAGTTTGGCTGATGTCCGCGGCCGGTTTAATGGGCTAGTGCTCTGTCCCCGGGGCATGTTCTCTCGTTGGGCAGATTGCCGGGAGGAGCAGTATCCCTGCACCAGGCTCTACTCGGTCCACAAGCCCTGCAAGCAGTGCCTGAACGAGATCTGCTTCTACAGGTAAGCGGCAGGCAGGGCTGGTTGGAGGGCCAGGCCCCGGTTTTTCATAGGCCATCCCAGGAGCAGCCCCCAAGACGGCCCAGTTTTGCATTTAATAAAGGAAAACAAGAAGTTCCATCTGGGTAGGGTGACCAGCTGTCCCGGTTTTATAGAGACAGTCCCCATTTTTGGGTCTTTTTCTTATATAGGCTCCTATTACCCCCCTATCCCCGCCCCGGTTTTTCACACTTGCCGTCTGGTCACCCTACATCGGGGCTGCTCCGAGTTCGCGGTGTGACGAACCGAGTTTTGGGGCTGCCCCTTTGCACGTAGTGAATTTGAACTACACGTGGGCAGTGGCTTGTGACCCTTGTCCTCACTAGCCAGTGAACCGGAGCTTGCAGCGTGAGTGGCCCCATTCACGCGCCCCGTGGCCACACACACAACCCACTCATGGTAACACAGGGGTGTGGCGGGGGGGAGATAGGGCAGACCTGGAGTTGAGCCTCCCTTGACAGCCAGAGCTAATATGGACATAGGCTAACACCACGCGGTAACTGAGAGCCACCAACACCTTCCCATGGGCCCCCCCAGAGCCCTGGCCCTGTGGCTTGTGTTAGAGGGGAGGAGTTCTCCCCCATTTCAACTGCATCACCCCTGCACAAATGATTAAAAAGAGCCCTTGTCTGCGGAATTTCATTCCCCCCAAAACGTGGCCCAATTTGACAGTGAAAATACAGATCACTTTGGCCCAAGCACGGGCAGAGAACGAAGAGCCCTTCCCCGACTCCATCCACCAGGGTGTCTCAGGCCGTGCGTTCTGTTCTCCCTTTCAGCCTCCGCCGGGTGTACGTTATTAACAAGGAAATCTGTGTCCGTACCGTGTGCGCCCACGAGGAGCTGCTCCGAGGTAAGGAAGTGACGCGCTGGCGTGAATTGGCCCGTGAGACGGGACGCGGCCTGGTCTCTGGAGGACCCTGGGAGGGGACATTTCAGCGGGAGGCTGGCTGAATGGCACTCTCCAAAAAGGGGGGGGAGGGAGAGATTTGGCTCACACACAGTGGGGACCCTACACTTGGGCAGTGGGTGCGAATCGCTCCTCGGTCAGTACAGAGGAGGGGCTGGTGAGAGGGTCCAACCACTAACTCCTTGCTCTGCCCTCCTAGGACAGGCCGACCCCTCTGCCCCTAAGATGCTAAACTCCTGGACACGGCTGCTCCGGAACTGATTTATTTTATCCCCTGGTGTGGGGGGGGAGGAGGGGACAGGGATAAAAACAAATCTTCAGCTGTAGAAACTTTCTGGCATTCTGGTTTTCAGTTTTGACAAAACCCTGAACCTTCGTGCTCCATCCCCCCCCCCGAGCTCTGCCCTGTTCCTTCATGGTTCTTCGCCTCCCCTCCACAGCTGACCTGTGCCGGGACAAGTTCTCCAAATGCGGCGTGCTGGCAACCAGTGGCCTCTGCCAGACCGTGGCTACCTCCTGCGCCAGAAGCTGCGGCGGCTGCTAAGGCTGGACGGCGGATGCCACAGCAGACCCACGGGCCCCGACTCTGCTGTCTCAAGGCCAGGCCAAGCCGAGCCAGAGGAAAGTTCTCTCCCCGGAGCGACCTTCCGTCTGCCCCGGTAGAATAACATTGTCATTGTGCTCATGAAATCAATGGTGCTAAGGAAACACGGTGCATGAAACAGCATAGACGTCCATTTTGTGCACATAATATAGGGATTTTTATGGGGTTTTTTTATTACTTTTTATTATATTGGAAGAGTCACCGGCAGGGGCTGGACTGGGCCAGTGCAGTCTGATTGGACTCAGCCGGCGCAGGCCAGCCCAGCCGGGCTGCTGGCTCAATTTATACGTAGAGAACAAGTGTAACGACTTGTCTGAATTTCTGGTCTCTCCCACCCACCCTTTTTGCTGCTTTCTTAGACCATTGCCCTTGTCTCTCCTTCCTCCTCCTCCGACTTCCCAGTGGGTTTGATGGCTGCTGCTTTAGTCCTTCGTTTGGACCAGGGTGCAGTTTGAAGCTTGTGCTGGGTGCTGGCCCAAGGGTCTATTTTGGGGGGCCCCGTCTGGCCCCAAAGTTGTGCCGGGCTTGTTCAACTCTGTAGCTTGCCACAATGCTTCAGGAGCTGGGCTCTGCCTGCTGCGTCCCACCCCCGCTCTGCCTCACGCCCCGGTCGCCTTGTGAACGCGCCAACGGGCTGAACGGCAGCTTGGCGTATGCCCCAATTCGCCTCGGCTCAAGCGTCCGCTTGTTACCTGCCCCACGGCGATCGCAGGGAGGGGAACAGCGGCTCGGCTGAAGATGTCTGAGCTGGGCCGCAGCGGGTATGCTGTGCTGCACGGGAGGCAGCCCGGGGCGTATTTTGACAGCTGGCAGGGTACTGCTGCAGAGATGGGAGACGCCCGTTCTCTCGGTGCAGGGACTTGGGATCCCCCTGGGGAGATGACGGGCTAGAGAGGTCAGAGCAAATAACATCCGCCCACTGCAGCCAACCTTCAGAAACTCAGGCCCTAGAGTGCCAGCTGAGCTGGGATGATGCTGGTGCCTGCTCCCACCTGGTCCAGGCCGTTCCTTCCCTAGAAAGATAATGACTCTTTTGAGGTAGATGCCGCACAGGTGGGTGGATGGAGGCCACTCGTACCCTCTCCCTCTGTGCTTTGCCAACGTCAGCCCTTTTCAGCTGTGGAGTTTAACTCTTTCCCCGTGCGCTTGCTCCTTCATCTCTCCGCTTCCTCAGACGGGTGCTAGCTCACCCGTGGCACCTGCAGGAGAGCTTTGTGGTCCACTGAAAAATCACTGGCCGTCTCTGCATCAACAAGCCAGGCATCTGTCACTCTTGCAGCTCCATACCTGATCCAACCGGGGGTGCCCTCGCCTCCTGCCCTTCGAGCCAGGTATTTAGGGTTACCGAGCTCAGCATTTCTATGTGTAAATGATTTAGGAACCTAAATCCCATTGACAGTCAATGAGATTTAGGCTCCTAAATGGCCATGCTGAGTGCAGCAACCGCTAAATAGCTTGTTAAAAAAACGGGGCCATGGATGGAGATGTGACGCTGACTGTGTGCGGTGAATTGGGCCAGGCCATTTTCCAGTACCTCTGGCTTAGAGCGGCCCTGAAGCGCTGCATTCTCCTCGGCTGGTCTGGTTTGCTTGCATTCGCTGTAGCTTTGTACGGATAATTCCTTTTTTTTTGTACAAAACGAATGTTTTAAAAAAATAAACACCCCAAAAAGGTCACGGCTGGCTGCACTGAGCCTCACGGCTTGAGCTGGGGGAGGAACAGCCAGGGCTGGGCAGCGTAGCACAGACGTCCCGCCACCCGCTCTACTATGAAAATACTTCGCATTTCGCCACCGCGGCTTCCGCAAAATCCCGCCAGCAAAGAGCATCCTGTGAACGTTGTCCCGGAGCCAAATGCCGGAGTCCTGGTCAGTGCCTTCTGCTGCAGCTCCCCCTTTCCTCTTCCAGCCGTTCAGTTTAACTCCAGTAGCACCTCAGAGATACGAACTCCAGCGTTACAGACTGGCCGGTCAACCGGACACCACGTGAAACTGGAAGTAACCAATCAGGCAGCAGCAGGGACACACAGAAAAGCAAATCCTGTGTCTGTATTGCATCTCAAAGGTAGGCACATCTAGGCTGCCTGTCCCCACCCCTTCACCCCCACGCATGGGGCAGCCACTTACAGCAAGACCCCGGGGCTTCCAGCCCAAGGCGGCTGTGATTAGGGTGACCAGCCATCCCGATAAAATTTGGACCATCCCCATATTTAGGTGTTTGTCCCGATATTTCGCTCCGCCGGCAGCACTCAGTTTTTTTTTTTTGTCTCCGCTGGGGGACCCCCATGTGTCCCGATATTTTCTTCCTCTCATCTGGTCACCCTAAGCTGCTCCTGCTCTGTGTCCAATGCTGGGGTCCAGGCCACTTTCACACACCCCTTCTCTGGCTGGGAAGGGCCCAGCTGCTGCTGAAACCTGGCGTGGAGTGTCGGCTGCTGGAGCTGGAGCCTAAACTCGGCTTTGTTCTGAGTTCTGAACCATTCGGAGGTTCTGCTGGATGCGTCAATCTCTGGACGGCCAAGCAGGAGCTGTGATTAAGCAGCGGAGGCTTGTCCCTGGGCTCGGACCACACTCCCTCCTTGCCAGCCTAGAGAACCTCCCCCCGTACTGAGACAGCGCTGGAGGAAGCATTAGCTTCAAGCTCTTGGCTCGAGCTTTCCCCAGCAGCGGCAGGAGGAACATGCTAAAAATGGAAGTGGAGCAGCAGGCTAGCCTAGCTGCCCCCCTATGTATCTATGGTCCCAGCTGGATTGTATTCAGGGCAGCTATCCCCTCCCACCCCTGTGGGTACACTGCTATTTTTAGCATGCTCGCTGGATCAGAGCTAGTGCCGGTATGTCTCCTGGAGCCAGATCCTCCAGCTCCAAGTGGTGACATAACCTGAAAGTGACCATCCTTGTCAGTTTCACCACTGGCCTGAGGGGATCTGGATGACAGCAGTGAAACTAGGCACTCATGTTCACTCCATCACAAATTAAGTCAGGAGGTCCTTCCTGGCTTTATAATTTATGAACATGAATCAAATAGTAATGTGCTGCCGGGTAAGGCCCAGGTTTGGCTCTTGAGTTACCCACCAGCCCTATAATTCTATTCCAATGGCAGCAACCTCTTACAGGAGAAAATGAAATCACACACACTCCGTTGGCACACTTTTTTTCTTCCTGTTTAATGCAACTCTGGACCAGGTGCCGCTCCCTGACAGCAAAGGCGGGGAGACAGGCTGAAGCAATGTCCTGTCTGTAGTGTGATTTTTATTTTTTTTGAAAATCCCTCTGTAAAACATTTATACAAACTTTGGAAATGTTTAAAACTCTGACCCAGAGACACAGAGTTCCCTGGTTGGGCTTTCCATTGCCTCAGCTTAGAGGGAAGTGACCACCAGGGATTTCAAATGCAAGGTGAGCTAGACACAGTCTGACATTCCCCCGCAGCACCAACCAAGTGTGGGGCAAGCTCTCCTTTTTCCTCCCCCAATGTCCAAATTCATCAAAAAAGTACCAATAGAATCTATTAAAAAAAAAAATAAACTCTTCCTGGCATGATTGTTACACAAGTGAGAACGAAAGAAAAGTAAGAATTTCTAGTAGAAAACTTGATCACTTTAAAAACAAACCCATCCACCCACCTGTAGAAAAATCTTGTGCTAAAGAACCAGGATTTCACTAACGCCCTCATCGCGCTGCTGCTGCTGTAGGCAGTCAGCCTCTGCCTTTTCAATTTAGTGTCACAGACCAGCTGGGAGAGGAATGTTTCTAGGCGTGAAAGGACTAAAAAACCTACAGCCTGAAAGTGTGCTTTAAAAGGGGCCTGATCTCATGAAGAGTAACAGCTGCTGCTTTTTAGTGTGTGTGTTTTTTTATTAAGTGTTGGCTCCTGCAGGGCTAATACAGTGCGAAAGAGACAGCTGCAGTCTGGCTTCCTTGGGCTGTGTCAGAGCCGTTTGCTGAATTCCAATCAGTTACACCTGCGTCAGTGAGCACAGCCAGACACGGGTGGGGGGTCCTGCCGAATCATTAGTGCTGATGCAGGCGAGGGAAAGGGCCCAGGTTGACTCAAAGCCTCGAGCAAAAGTGAGGGCAGCTGACTTGTGAATGGAGCACAGCTGAGCTGAGCGGCTCTGCTAGGAGCAGAACTGTACTTTAATCCAGTGAACAGAGCCCAGTTGCCCCATTCTCAAGTAGCCAGCGTTCGTGGGCCCCAGCTAACCTAGCGCTTGGCCAGGCTTTCTAAGTAAACAGCTTATGCTATGGCTGAGTGAGCTAGCCTCACTTCTGCCCATGGAGTTAATTTGGCTTCCTCCTTTCCAACTGCACTGTCTAGCGGGGCTGCAGAACTCTGTGCTAGTGGGGGTTACGTTACACTAGTGCTGGGGGCTAAGATCAGAACATGCCGCCTGATGCAGAGTTTCTTCCCAGCCCTCTCGGTGCCTTTCTAGTTACCTTACCAAGAAAGCCAGGCCAGTGGGTATTAGAGAAAAGTTCCCTGCAAATGCCACCTCCACTAGGTGCATTTCCTTCTCCTGCTCTAATTTTACGGCTGCCCTTCCGCAGCCGATTCTCTCATTTGACACACAACCGGAGAAGGCTGAAGAGATGCTACTGTCATTAGCCTAGACAGTGCTGCTCATCAACCGAACTGGCAGAGCCAAGGGCCACTGGAGGAGGATTTGGGTCTGGGACAAGCTGGAATCGGCTCAGTTTCGAAAACCTGAGTGATGATGTTTCAGGTGCTGCCCCTGGTTCACAGGCCTGACGTTTAACAATCACACTTTCCGATCTTAAAACCCCCCGTAAAACAACCGCCACAATGAAACTGACTAAACACACAGTGCTGTCAAATGCACAAACCAAACTAAGAGTAAAATAAATTCTGATGAGCTTGGTGTTACCTGTAATAAGTTAAAACTTTTCAGCCATCAGTGCTCAAGTGGGCAGTGGCTCTTTAACGAGACACAAAGGCCAAGGCTGGATCAAGTACAGAGTCTGCTGCTAACTCTAAGGGACACTAATGCTCAACTCGTTGCTATGGTGGAAAAGGAACTTCTTCAGGTTCAGTTTGTCCCCTAACCCAGTTATCTTGGCTCTTCTGGGTTTCAGGGCCCTTCAGCTTTCCCCTCCCTGATAACTAGCGGTGCAATAAACTAGGCTTTGGCAGGCACAAAGAATGACTCTAGCTCTGAGGGTGGAGTTTGTTCACCTACTGGTTTCAGGAAGCAGCAAGGGGCTCAGGGTGTACTTAGAGCACATATTGCTTACTACACAGTCGTCCCAGTGTAGGCACTGGGTGTGAACAGGACGCTAGGAGGAGCGGGGGCCCTGAGATGGTATTGGACATACAGCGACACTAGGGGCACGTTCTCAGCCAACATGCCCATGCAGGGCATGAGGCTGCTGGCTACTGGAAAGGAGGAGCAAACATTCAAAAATCAACAGCTGCTTAGACTAGCATTCTGTGAAACTGACCCGTCTCTGCTCGAAGGGAAACCAACAGGGAGGGCCAGCATAGAGCAGAGCACCCAACTCAAATCCTTGATAAAACACATCTTCCCATTTTCTACAAAAGGTTCTGGGTTTTCTGGGCAACACACTGGCTAAACCAGAGCTGCAGAAGCAGGTTTCATACGAAGAGTTAGGACAAAGTCTTGAAAAGTTTCCAAACCCCTAGTAAAAACTGCAGTAGAAAATGACAGGTATCAAATATACATTCTCCTCCATTAGCATCTTACGCTTAGGAAAGTGCTGTTTTTAAAAAAAATGGAATGGCAGAAGTGTCCTTGCTGGGAAGGCAAACACTGGTTTTGCAGGACCTAGTTGAGGATGGTTGTAGATTTTTTTTTTTTTGGTCCCCACCTACCCCCAAAATATATTTTTGCTTAAAGGGGCCTTTCAGGGTTAATGAAATAGCCGTGGGATGACACAGATCAGCAAACCCATTTCACTGGTGCCTGAGCCCATGTTCGGACTCCAGTCACCCAGGGGCATTCAGTCGTCGGCCTGTGAATGCACTCCCCTCTTCAGCGCTGCATTTTAAATGTTAGCCCCCAGCATGACCCTCTGGACAAAGAAGCCACTGTTTCTATTAAACTTAATAATATTGCTTACGAATAACCCCACTCCAGAGCACTTTCCAGCGGAGGATCTCAAAGCGCATCATGGTAATTAGTTAAGCCTCAGAATTCCTCTATGAGGTCAGTATTATTAGCCTTGAATTAGAGGGGGAAACTGAGGCACAGAGTGAGGCAATCATACGATGCATCAGCGTCAGGAATAGAACCCAGGAGTCCTCACTCCCCTGCTCTGAAGACTAGCCACTGTTACCTTCTATCCCCGCTTCAAAAGGAAGGTGGCTGCTATCCAGTGTAACAATTCGCCCGCCGTTGGAAAGATGCTACAAAAGGATTGAAGGTGGCTTCTGAGTAAAGCCACCCGGGGCCTGATTGCCCGGCGCTGGGCACCCCCAGCGCCAATGGACTGTGCTTTGAGCGGGGGGGTGCTCAGCGTGGCTGAAAAATCAGAGCCAGGCTGCCCGTTGTCACTGATTAGTTTCCATTCGTAGCGTATCCGCAACGATACACTCGTGGAGAAGGCCAAGTAGCAGCGCTGAGACGCTCCCCGATTCCCTGTCAACCCGACTTGACGCACACTCAGGGGAACGTGGGCGCGTGCTGGTCTTTTGTAAAGGGCTGGGCACTCAGGGAATCCACAGGGCCCTATGGGGAGGGTGATGGCAGGGGCATCGCCCCTCTATACAAACCCAATGTCCCTGCCACAGGGCTGGAGCATCAAGCCGGAGGGTGCTTAGGACTGAAGGCTCCTTGGTCACAGTGGCGGTAGGGAGAGGGAGGGAGCCTAGTTCCCCGAGAGGAGGGAGGAGTGAGAGTAATGGGTCTGGCACCGCCGCAACTCCTGCTGCAGCTGATCCTTCAGCGTGGAGATCTGTGAAGGAGAGGATTAAAAAAAGGGGGGGGGGAGTCCAGTCAGCACTTTGGCTGCACAGGGGTCCCCCGAAGCCGTGGCAGAGCCAGAGGGTGCAGCAGCATTTCGGGGCTATTTCCCCGGATCGGCAAAGGAAGCCGGGAGCACGGGAGCTGTGGAACTTACAGCTGCTCCAGTCCCAGCCTCTCCCAGCAGGGGGCGCTGTAGGGACCCTGGCGGCAGGGGATCGCGCGGCTAGTCGATGTCCAGCAGCTCACCTGCTCCTCCAGCCCCTTGACGCGCTGCCTGTGCGCGCGCTCCCTGGCCTCCAGCGTGCGCTCCGCCTGCAGCTGGGAGCCGCGCAGCCGCTCGATCTCCAGCTGCAGCTCCTGCCGGTGGCGGGTGGCCGTCTCCACCAGGCTCTGGGACTGGGTCTGCTCCATCTCCGCTACCTGAGCCTGAGCAAGGGAGAGGAGGGGGTCACACATCCAGGCTTCCCCGGGCAAGGGGCCATGCTGGTCTAGTCAGTCCTCTGAGGGCTGATTTATCCCACCTTGGTATTCCCCCCCATGCAAAAAAAAGTCCCCTGCACCCCATCTGCCCAGACAACCCCCTTGTGACCACATCACTCTGCCATCATTAGCCACCACCCGCCGCATTTCCTCCCGCTCCCCAATGACGCAGCCGGCGCCATCTCGCAGCCAGCACGGCCCAGCCCCTGCATGCGTCCTCCCTTGCTTGGAGACGCCAGGGACTGCCAAGGAAATGGAGGATCCATCCTACCACGCCGCTGTGGTTGACAAAGCGCCACCCTCAGAACTCAGGTCAGTAGAAGGGCCACCAGCCACCTTGGCGAGGGGGTCACCTCCGCCCACACTCCCTCGTATGCTAGCGCCTCCTTTTCAGCTCCAAGGGCCCTGCAGCAGCATCTGACCAGTGACCCTCGCCGGGTTCGTCTCGCTGCAGCCTGGGTTCTTCCAAGTATTGGCTAACGCGCTCTGCACAGTCCCTAGGCTTCTCTGCAGCCTTGGATGCAACGGATCCTCACCCCACTAGGTCTGGTGGATCTCAGCACTGCACTGGCTTCAAATTTAACCCTAACGTCAAAGCTGGTTGTGCGGCTGCTGTGTTATACGGCTGCTATTTTAAGGCCCCCAGGCCCCGCCCAGGTTCAACCCTGGTTCCGCACGCCCACGCACAAGCATCGTTTCGCCTTCCTGCCTGCTGAATGTTTTAATGCAAGCTGGTGGCCATTTTTTGACCAAAAAAATTTTCCTGGCAGAAACATGTAGACCAAAAATTCTCCACGGGCCAATGGCAGCGTTGATTCAGTGCTCCAAGCAGGACAATAAAACTAATTGTTTCAAAACTGAGCCAGCGTCACTTCGTTTCGGGTTTTGGAAACCAAGACGTGGCCCTTTTCTGTTGGGAGTTTGGGGTCCTCGTGCCGCCCTCCCTTTTGTGAAATGATCTCCCCCCACCCCCCGTGGAAAAAGTTAGAAAACAGAGATTGTGGGGCAGGAAAACCCTTTTCACACTTTCTTACCGGCTCCCAACTGGAAGATGTTTGCTGACCAGTTGGGGCTTAACACAGCTGGGCCACAGACAGCTTCACAGCTGAGTGGTGATGGAGCAAGTGCTGTAGTGTAGACAAGGCCCCGGGACTTTATGTGCTCACACAGGCCATCGACTGCATGGGTCTCCCTCCAGCTCCATTTCATAACCACCTGCTCCTGCCCGCACCCCCCCCTTACACCCAAAAACATGGGACAAAAACTCCCTTAGGGCTCAGCAGGACTAGAACAGGAACCACAGCGCAGCCTCAGAAGCCGAAGTCCCCAGAGCTGCACGTCACAAACAACCCCCGCAGCTTCTTGTCTCAGTTGCTGTTTGTGTAACCCACCAGCTAAGGCAGAGGTGGGCAAACTATGGCCCACGGGCCAGACCGTCCTGCCCGGCCTCCAAGCTCCTGGCCCGGGAGGCTAGCCCCGGCCCAGGGCTGGCTCTAGCGTTTTTGGCACCCTAAGCAAAAAAAAAAAGGGCGGCCGGATTGTGCCACCCAAAGACTGACCGGAATGCCGCCCCTTAGAATGTGCCACCCCACGCACGTGCTTCCTTGTCTGGTGCCTGGAGCCGGCCCTGCCCTGGCCCCTCCACTGCTGTTCCCCCTCGCCCGCAGCCTCAGGTCGCTCACTCCGCCGCCGGCGCAATGCTCTGGGTGGCGGGGCGAGCGCCTGGGGCAGCGCAGCTGCAGAGCCCGGCCTGACCTGGTCTCTGTGCTGTGCGGTGGCCCGGTGCTCCAGGCAGCGCGGTAAAGGGGCAGGGAGTGGGGGCGTTGGAAAGAGGGCAGGGGAGTTTGGGGTGGTAGTCAGGGGGCGGGGGTGTGGATAGCGGTTGGGGTGGTCGGGGGGAACGGGGTTGAATGGGGGCAGGGGTCCCAAGGGGCAGTCAGGAAGGAGCGGGGGGTTGAATGGGGTGGCAGGGGGCAGTCAGGAGCAGGGGTTCCAGGGGCAGGCAGGGGACAGGGAGAAGGGGTGGTTGAATGGGGCAGGAGTCCCGGGGGGCAGTCAGGAAGGATGGTGGGGTTGGATGGGGCTGCAGGGGTCCTGGGGCAGTCAGGGGACAGGGAGCAGGGTTGTATGGATAGGACAGGAGTCCCAGGGGGCTTGGGGGGGCAGGAGATGGGAGGTGGGGGCTGGGACACAACCCCCTCCCCTAACTGGCCCTCCATACAACTTACAAAACCCGATGCGGCCCTCAGGCCAAAAAGTTTGCCCGCCCCTGCGCTAAGGAGTCTTGGGGCTTTCGCACAAGCTGTAGCAGTGCATGAAGGGCCCCGGTTCGATCCCCAGTGCGTCTTCAAACCGTGGCTGCTTCTACCCTATTCTCGGCTCCGCCATTGAAATGCTGTGTAACCTTGGGCAAGATACTTCACTGCTCTGTGCCTCAGTTTCCCCTCCCACCCTCTGTCCATACAGATGGTCACCTGGCAAGGCGGTCTCCTGTATGGGGCCTAGCATGACAGGATCCTGATTGCATTATTGTTACTCGTATTACAGCCAAGCCCTGGCCTGCTGTAGATTGGCTCTCTGTTAAGAGGGGGCGCGTGGTACGGGAGGGGCTGGGTGAAAGGCTCGGGCGCACAGGACTAACTACAAGCACTGAGCCAGAGGCGTGACTCACCCAGGAACACGTTAGCGTCCTTCTAACCATGCTTAGGTTCTCCTGCAGGGACCAGCCGCCCGACCAAAAGAGAGAAGGCAGTAAGCACACCAGTGAGCGCCAGGGTTCAAAGGTCATCGGAGCTAGGGGAGGGGGAGAGGTGAGCGAGGCTCCCCCCTCCCAGGAGAGCCAAGGATTCCAGGTGACAGGTTGCACGTGGGTCTGATCAATGGGCGTCTTTCAATCGACCACGATGAGCTTTGGCTCAGGCCCTGGGCACGGATACAGCTGCAGGGCCCCTGGGGGCCTTGTATCCGCTCAGTGCAGCCATGCCCAGCGCCTCTGGTGGCAGCAGGGCATTCTGGGAGTCTGGAAGTGTTCAGCACCCCGGGCCGGCGCTGGGAGGAGGGCGCAGGTGTGTAACTTGGTTATGGGTCTCAGCCCATGTAGGGAGAGGCTGTGGAAGGAGGGTGGCCTTGGGACGCGCCTGGCTAGAGCTGAAGGAAGGGGGTGGGGGGTAGCTGGGAGGAGTTTGGCAGCAGGGGCAGGTCACTGGCTGTCAATCAGCACAGCACTGCTCTTCCACCTCCCCGGCTCCCCACTATCCATCGCACTAGAGGGAGTATTAACCCTTCAATGCCGCTGCCAAGTCGAGGCTGGGTCCCCCCTAAACTTCTGAGTAGTTGCACTTCCACAGCACCTTCCCTCCGGAACCCAGCGTCACACGACACACGGCGCTATCCCCATCCCCGTGTTCCTACGGAGGCACAGAGCGGGGAAGCGCCAGGCCCCAGCTCACACGGCGTCCCAGGGGCCAAGCGGAGTGAGCGAGCCCGGATCTCCTGACCTACGCTCCGCCCGGGGCTTTAACTCCCAAACCACCTTCCCCCCTTGTTTCACACCCCCTGGGCTACACCAGTCTACTGGGGAGAGATGCCGTCACGTCCACCCCGCTCGGCTCTGGGGCTAGTCCACCCTAGCCGTCCTTCACACCCGCCTTGTAGATTGACCCCTCTCAGACCCACGTCTCCACCATCTGTGTCTCTTCCCCCCAACTCCCACCCCCTTTCATCTCCCACCTACTGTTCTGTCCCCTCCTCCCCCTCACCCAATGTTTTTTCATAGGCAAGGGAGCCTATGAAGAGGCCCTGTCGACAGCACTCTGACCCAGCAGCATAATGCAGAGCTCTGCACCCCCTGGCTCTTGGCTACGTCCTAACAGCCACGGCAGCGCGTGACGGAAGCTGCGAGCAGACCCGCGGGGTGTTTCCACCCCCAGGGGTCAGCAGGAACCAGGACTGTGCCTAGCTCTTTGGAAAGCTGCCCCGCACCCCGGCTGCTCAGGACAGAGCACTCAATGGGGAGGGTTTGACGGCTGACCTCGAGCAGCTGGATCTGTCGCTGAGCCTCTGCCAACTCCTGCTCCACCGTGTTGAGGGAACGGTCCAGCCGGCCCTTCTCCGCCGACAGCCGCACCGAGTCCTCGTGCGTCTTCAGCTTCTCCCGCTCCACCTGCCGGCCAAGCAAGCCCAGGGAGAGAGGGTGGGTCGGGCCACGCTGGTTATGGCTACACTCCGCACTACGCCCCGGCCCGCGGGAGCCGGGCTAGTGGACTCGGAGGTTCCAAGCCTGCGCTTGAGCGTCCACACTGCATTGTAAACGGCTGCACCCGGGTCTCACAGCCAACACTGCACCGCGCAGCCCTTATGAGTCGGGGCTGCGGTTTGCGCTACATCCACTCTGCGAAACCACAGGGCTTGGATCCACAACCCGGGTCCTGGGTGCTGGCTGACCCACGTCAGACTGATGTGTGTGTGGACGGAAGGGGGACTTGGGCTCAAGCCCGGGCTCAGCATGCAGTGTAGACGTACCCCATGTGATCACAGAGGGTACCTGGCGTTGACGTGGTCCTGCGCCCCCACCCCCACGCACTGGGCACCAGACTCCCACAGTTCAGACCCAGCACTTGCTCCAGCCAGGCCCAGGCCCGCGCGGCGTGGCGCTGCCGGGTACTGACTGATGAAGGCTGGAGGTTGGCCTGGTCCAGGGACGGCTGCTGTGGGAGTGAATCGGTTTAGTTCAATAGGGGGCTCTGAGAAAAACGCACGCAGGAAGGAAATAAGACAACTCAGGCCAAACCACCCGTGAGCAAACACTGGTGTGTCGTTACGGGACAATGGCAGGGCCGTGGGCTCTGAGGAGCCCAGCTCAACCTCTCCCTGAGCCCACAGCTGGGTTACACACGCAGGGCCAAAGCCAGGCACTGACCCGAGCAGGGACTGGCTGGATTAGCCGGGACACCCCCCCCCCCCCTTCAAGTGAAGCAGTGGTTGCTGGGGAGCCGTTCAGACGAACCAGGCCCCTGCAGGGGTATCTGAAGAAGCTAGGCCAGGCTAGACCCCCATCACACTACGGGAGGGCTGGGGGTCAGAGAGCCACGTGCAGACTGTGGTTTTTAACTCCCCTCTCCAAACGCTTTGTTCCCACTGCTGAAACGAACCCCACGTTGGCTGGAAGCAGGATGTTGCTCACTATATCTGCCTCGGTGACACACTCCCACACGAAGAGCCCACCGGCCCGGCTGGGCGAGCCCAGTCCATACACATGGCGCCGGAGCCCGGGGCCCAGTCTGAGAGCGGGAGAATTGCTGGATTCCCCTGAGGGGAGGTAAAGGCCCGAGATCTGAGGGGGGCGCTGAGAGAGACCACGAAGGGAACAGAGGTGCCGCACGCCCCGCACCCATGACCCACAGCAACTTCCAGCGGGAAGGAGCCCAGGGCACTTAGAGCAGCATTTCTCAAATGTAGCCACCAGGGGGCTTTTTTCCGGCTACAACAGCCTCCAAAGCATAGGCAGAGATTGGCGGGGGGGAGGCGTTGCCTCCCAGAAACTGTATATGTTGATGGTGAGGGGGGCAAAATTTAAAGGTTCGGCCGCCCCTAAACAGCTTGGGCGGGTCCCCCCCGACCCTCAGTCTCCCCTCCCGGAAAGCAGCAGCCCCTCCCAGCTGTTGGTCCTGAGTAGCTGGTACCAAGGGCAGCAAGACGCGCCACCTTGGTGTTTGCACCGCCAGCAGGGATCGGTGCCCTGCAGCGCGCAGACTCCTCTGGGGCTCCGGGCAGCGCCTCTGGAGACACGTGGGGCCGGTGTGCACGGTGCTGGAGGCGATTCTTGTCAGTAGAGGCGGCTACGGCATTCAGTCACCGGGGAGCTCCCCTGGGCAGCTCCCCCCGTCCCACCCAGCCAGGCCTCGGGAAGTCTGAGACACCGCAGGCGGCCCGTGAGTTCCCGACCCGCCTTCCCCAGGGCGGGCTCTCGCTGAAGGCAGGGATAGAGAGATGGGCCGGCGCTTGGACACGTATATGTGCATATTTCGTTGCTTTTCCTAAAGTTAATTAAGTATTTTAGGAAAAGTTGTCAGAGCGGCCACCAGCAAGGGTTGGCGGCGGCACTCTGAGGCCACCAAAAAATCTGTGGTGAGAAGCCCTGCTTTAGAGGATGTGTAGAGAGCGAGCATTTCCCCCACTGCTGCAATGCAGTCACTTCTGGGGAGGAATAAGGCCCCCACTCTTCACCAGAGCCCTTACACCACAGCTTTCGGGAGCGGGAAACAACTCCAGGGCTGTGTCCCCAAGCTGTGCTCTCCGGAGGATTGCAGGCAGCTGCAGAGGATCATGGGAGTCTGGCTATGGGTCTCTCTGCGCTGAGTTTGCTGGCTCAGAGCTCCGTGCCAGACACCGCTTTATGGGGCAGTGATTGAATGTGGATCACGGTTGGGTGGGTTTTCCCCATGGCAGACTGGGGCGGGGTCACTCAGGGAGGGGCTGTCTGCTACGGCCAGTCTAATTCCACGGGTTGCCCGTTGAAATCGCAGGCACAGGAGCGTAAATGCAACGACCGAAGCACCACTGAATGGACGGAGGAGATTTCAGGCCGTTCCCGAATGTAACGCCCCATGATGCCATGGATAATACCCAGTCACAGCTGACTGGAAGCCAAGCTGAGCATTCACCCCCCTTCGCTCTCAGTAGAAATGCCAGTTCGGGATTCGAACCCGGTGCCAGACCCAGGATTCTGTGGAATTTTGCATCCCCTGCTCGTCACCCCCATCCTCTGTCCGAGATCAGGCAGCCCCCTGCCAGCCGGGAAGGTGGCACGGAGCGAGCGAATTCCCATAACAGGCTAACCCTAGTGCCGTTCCTTGGAGGGACCTTGGATAAGAAGCCTACAAATCAGCTAATACCATTCCGGCTGCGTGTGCCGGGGGGAGAGCACTGGGAGTCATCAAGCCCCATCCCCTGCTCCTCACCTTGTCCAGGGTCTTCTTCAGGGCCATCTTGTCCTTCTCCAGCCGCAGGGAGGAGCGCTCCGCCTCCCGCTTCTCGCTCTCCAGCTGGGCCAGGGCCCGCTGCAGGCCGCCCAGCCGCTCCTGCAGCAGGTGCTTGTCCTCCTGCAGCTTCTGCAGGCTCCGCAGGGCCGCGCTCTCGCTCTCCTGGCACTGGCGCAGCAGCTGGGCAGCGGGGGAAGAGAGACGTGGCTGAGCACAACGTCACAGGGCAGGGAGCCGCTCTAGTGAGAGGCGCGAGGGATTGGCCCGGTAGCCTAGTGGTTAGAGATCAGCGCTTCCACGGGGGGAGACCCAAGTTCAGTGCCTGGGCCCGGGCTCTTGCTCCGTGGCTGGGAAGGGGGTGAAAGCGGCAGGACGAGCTGCTGGGATTTGGGAGGTGAGCGGGGCAGGACTGGTAGCTCAGCACAGACCCTGCCGGCAGCACTGAGGGGTTAATGCTCTGGTTCTCCACAGCTGGAAGGGCTGAGAGCCCTGAGGATAAATGGGGCTTGGTGAGGGACCCCCCTGGGGGAGCAACTTCCCTCCCAGTCTGGACCCCCCGAAGCAGACACAAGGCTGTCGGCACAAAGCAGTGCCAGGGGCAGTGGGGGTTTAACAACCGAGGGGCTCAGCCCCCTGGGAATGCTGGGTGGTGGGGCAGGAAGGGCCCAAACCCTGAGGAAAGGCAGCTTCAACTCCCAGTGCCCTGGCTGGGGCAGGCAGAGCCCACAGATCCATAGGGAGCCCTGTGTCCAAATGCTCTGTGGGGAGAGCCACAAGTGACCCCCAGGGGGTGCTCCAAGGAAAACCTCCCTCCAGCGCCCCCACACACACACTCAGGAAAACCTCCCTCCAGCCCCCCGACCCAGCGCCGCATCCTCACCTCCTGCTGCTGCCGGACCTGCCCTTCGAGCTCCTCCTTCTGCAGCTCCAGCTCCGCCTGCTCGCTTTTCAGCACCTGGACCCGGTCCGCCAGCCCACTGTTCTGCTTCTTGGCTTCCGAGACCGCCTGGCGGGCAGCGTCCAGCCGCTCCTGGGACAGGAGTGGAGACGGTGACACCCCAACGGCACAGCGGGGCCAGGCTGTGCAAAACAGATCCCGGCCAAGCTCCCCGCTTCACGAGCTCGGACCGATTAACCCAACGCTAGCAGGACAGAGCCACCCGCTCACAGCAAAGACAGTGGGGAGGGGAACCAATCCCCGTGTTGTGTGGAAGGGCAGCTGGCACGGGGAGGATGGTGTGGGACTGAAGGAGGTGTCTACAGTCAGGCTCAGTGCCAGCAGTTTCCCCTGCAGCCCCCTGGCTAGGCCAGCCCTGGCCCATCCAAGACAGATCTACCAATGCGCCCAATCCTGACTTGCTGGAAGCCTTGGGGAACTCCAGTCCTGGCCCGATTCCTCTCCCACCTCTGCCAGCGTCCCTCAAACCTGCTGGAAATCTCTGCCTGGACCCTGCCCCCGCCCCCCTCCTCCCCCACTGCCTCGCTGCACCTTGCAGCCCCGGGCGACTCCCACCTGCAGCACGCGGCGGTCATGCTCGCTGGCTGTCAGCGCCTTCTGCAGCTGGAGCACTTTCTCCTGGGTGGCGCCGGCGCTGGCGCTGCTCTCCGACAGAGACAGGGCCAGGCCCTGCACCTTGTCCTTCAGGGCGCTCTCGCCTTCCTCGGCCTTGGCCAGGGTGAGGTGCAGTCGCTCCACGGACAGCTGCAGGGCGTTGGCCTTCGTCTCGCTGTCGGTGACCTGCGGAGGGATCGGCACAGTCCGGCAATGAGCCGGGGCCCAGGGCTGCATCTCCCGCGTTACTAGCCGATGGTCACAAATGCTCTGTGGTCAAGCCCTGCCCTTAGTGGCAGGGGCCGCACCAGGACGGCTGGAGCGGTGCCAGCCCTGCGGGCGTTACACAAACCGCCCTGCCATCAGGAATCCTTCGGAGAGGAACAGCCTGTGTGGCCGACTAGTCCGGTGTGCTAGGCCACACCCACTCAGGACAGCAATGGAGCGGCCCCTTGGAGATCGAATCCACCCCCCCCCAGCTCATGGGTCGGGAGCAGCGGCCTAGGGGCTGGACCATGGTGCTCACTCACCCACTGCACCAGGATGGTGACCCCCAGGGCTACATAATCACAGACCCACTAGCCACGTCACTCCCTGCTCCCCACGCTGGGGCAGGCAGAGTTGGCACAGAGCTCCGCTCTACGACACGCAGGGGCACTGCCCGGGTGCCCTGCCGCCCGGCTGTGCTGGGAGCTGGGCAGCCCGTCAGCAGCGTGGGGCTTTGTGCCTCATCACGGCTCCTTCCCCTCCAATGCCTGGCGCGCACAGATCCTAGAGGAGGAGCGGGCGCAGCCAGCGCCAAGGGGCTGCCATGGCCTCGGTCTGCCACGGGGCACAGGCCCGGCCCAGCAGCAACGGCGGCGCTACCTGTCTCTGCAGCGTGTCACCGTGTTCCTGCAGCACCTGGATCTCCATCTCGCGGTCGCTCAGCACCAGCTTCACCCTCTGCAGCTCCCCCTCCAGCGAGCGCCGCAGCAGCTCCAGCTTGGTGCAGCGGCTCTCCGAGGCGTCCAGGATCTCCTTCAGGCGCCGCTTGTCGGTCTCCAGCTTGGCCTCGTTGGCTTTCATCTTGCCGATCTTCTCCTGGGGCCCGGGAGAGCGGGGAGCAGAGTCACCAGCCGCCTCCCCTCTCCCCCGGCTACGCGCTCCTCTGGCGCTGGGGCCGGGCAGGGTAAGTTCAGGGCTCGCGGAAGATGAATGGCACGGCCGGAGTCCTGCGCAGGCCCTGCCTCAACTTCCACACCCAGCCCTGCTGCCGTCCGGCAGGAATGATCTGCAGCCCCCTGGCTAGTCCGGCCCCAGGGTCCCTATACAGCTCTACTGACGTATCTCCATTCTCGCCGGCACCACCCCTGTGAGTCCAGTCCCAGCTCAGCTCACGCCCCTCAGTGCCACCCTGCAGCACCCCCTGCTATACCAGCCTCGCCCCCCCCCCCCCCCCCCGGCCCCCCCCCCCCGCCCCCTCCTACACCCGCCCGGGGCGACCCCCCCCCCCCCAGCTCAGCTCACGCCCCTCAGTGCCACCCTGCAGCACCCCCTGCTATACCAGCCTCGCCCCCCCCCCCCCCCCCCC